TCAGATTTTGCGCATTGTGTGCGAAATCGCTACAACCGATTGAGGAATAAGGGCAACAACATAAACATCGCGTTAGTTGGAGAGTCGCTCTCAGGCGGCATTCCATCGACAAACTGACTGCTCCAGTAACATCCGTTCACTTCTGGGAAAAGTTGATGAAGTCAGCAGTATGTTATATGAAAAAAGTGTGCAAATACTTCGGAATTATTATGCTCCAAGAAAGTTGGTTACAACCTGAGATTGAGGCGGCGTTGTCCTGCTCGATGGATTTGACATCTTACGAGATGATCGGAGTGTGAAATTCAATAAAAGCGGTGATGTGGTAGTCACTTACATCAACCGTATGTAGTGTAATAGCTCTCAACTTGTTCCATTTTAATACCATGAAAATGAACTGCATTGTCGTTCAATAGGAATCCTGTATTCTTATTCATTTTCATTATATCCTACTAGCAAACATTTACATTGACCCTGACACGTCCACTTCTGACATCCGAATGTTTTTTGACTCTTTCTCTACACAATTTGTGCCAGGCTTAGACCAGTCACTGTGTACTGTGGCTGGTGATTTTAAACGTTCTTTCTTAAGAACTTTAGATTTGGTTGACCTGGTGCACTTTCCCACTTATTTGAAGGTCCAGTTTGACGGCATTTTTGTAAGTATACTAGATGTCTTCTTTACAGAACAACGAGGTCCTACTAGCACGTCCGACCACTGTACAATTCTTTTGCACCCAAAAATCCATGCTAAAATGTTTCATCGTCAACAGGCAAAAGCAGTATCCCGAATAATACGAAGGAGAAATTATACCCATGATAATTTATCTCGCCTCCAAGGTATGATCTCCTCGACCGATTTTTCTGTCTTCTCCAATTCAAATAATTTTTCCAGATTTGAACATCTCGCCGGCTACCTTGACTTGCGTTTTGATTTATGTTGCCCGATCAAGACAATAAATATCCATAATGACAGATTCTCATCGCCTCTCCTAAAACGCTTCTATCTAATGGGGAGAAGGCATATACGAATGGTAGGCGCTACGATGTCATTGACACTCGATTATCCTCAAGGCAGAGATTCGGTGTTTGAATGGGATGGTTTTTGAGACCATGCTGGGCAACCAGAGCTGTCGCGAGATGTGGTCGGCGTTGAAGTAACTCTGTGACACCCGTGGGAGATCCTTTCCTGACCTCGAGGAATTAAACCGACAATCTTCTGTCTCCCCTGGGTCCAGTTCTCTAACGTCTGTTTTTATTTCTTCAGGAAACACCAACCCTGTTTCCTCGACCAAGGTTCTCAAAGTTTTGAAGCAACCTAAGTCAAACAAGGATCACGGACCGGATTCATTAGCCCCTATTTTACTGAAAACCTGTGCCGAACACTTTTCAACACCGGTTGCAGAGTTGGTTTATTTTTGCATGTCCTCCGGAAGAATTCCTGTTTTTTGGAGGGCTGCCCGGATGAGACCCATTCCCAAGAAAGGTTCTTCAAAATATCGACCGGTTGCATGTAACTGAGCCCTGTTGAAGGTCTTTGCAAGAGTGCTGTTGAACCGTTTGACTTCCTCTATGATGTTTTTAATCCTCTTTAGTTTACTTATAAAAAATCCTTTTCGAGTGCTAACGCTGTTACATATGTTGTCCATTCTGTGGCCTCAGTTATTGATATGAGTGCTAGAACTGTTACCTTCATTTTTCTTGACTACGCCAACGCCTTTGGTTCGCCTAACCGGTGCATTCTCATTCAACGTCCTGCCGACTGCAACTTAGGATCCAACATGCCCAACGTTCTTGTAAACTACTTCTCTTCTGAGACGCAATTTACCTCATTCAATGGTAAAACGTCGTCATCTCATGTTCACTCTGGTGTCCTCCAGGGCTCAATTTTGTCTCCTTTTTTCCCTTGTACATAAAACACCTGCCTATCTCTATCAACTTTATTGCCTGTAAGTATGCGGACGACGTGGTGATTGGGTGCCCCTGCAATACTGATGCTTCGTTCCACCTACTTCAAAGCAGTCTGAATGATGTTTTCAGCTGATCTCTACCGCGATCACTCTTGCTTAATGTTTCCAAATTTGTCGACGTTCCCTTCAGGCTTAAATCTGGCTCCCGCCAATAAACTACCTTGAATAATTTGCCGGATCTAGTAGTTAAGAGTCACAGAAATCCCAAAGCCGTTTCTGTTAAATATCTTGGAGTTGTTCTATCCCACGACCTCTGTTGGACGTTACATGTAGAGAACGTTTAGAACAAAGTTCAAAAGCTCTCTTTTTATGCGTTTAGGCTTAGGAAGCTTGCTGTTCCCCCAAACGTAATTTTCAAAATCGTGGTAGCATGCATCTGATCTCACTGACTGTAATGTTTCACTGTATTTTTCCCAGCTTAAAAGAAAAAAATTTCCAGGTCTATAAAACTCCTATCCTGATGTAGAAGCATAGCCACAGAAGTTTTGGTTGATTTTATTGTGTGCAAACATATCGACGCGTGTGAAACAACAACCGACAGCATCTGGAACAACGAAGATCACTGCTGGCATAATGAACTTACCAAATCCATTTCAAACCCCCATACCTGCTCCCATTTCAGGCTCCTTAGCACACGCACCGTCGCATACAGAAACAGCATCCTCCCTTTTCTTGCTCGCTTTCCAGTAAATNTCTGGCACTAAGTATTACAGATTTGGTGGAACACCTCCATCCTTCCTCCATCCTTCAAAATCGTCTTCCTGCGTGCAGTTTTCTGTCGTTTTTTTAATTAACCTATTCACAATTGGAGGCCATCCATCACAATTCCTTTGTATTATCGTGAAAATCGCTGAAAATTCACCCTCGGGTGCATCAAGCTTAATTTGCCTTGATTGACTTGATTTGTTACTGGAGAGACGAAAGTTGGTTCTGTTTGAAAAATTCACCTTATAAGTAAATCAAGCGTTATAAACCGTTCTGACTAAACCATAATTCAATGAGATGGACAACCAAATGGGAATTGTTATCCAATATGATATAATACCGTNAATACCGTTTGCATTACTTACATAAGTGACTAGATCAGAACGGTTACAGACAGAGTTGTTTACTTTGTCCTTCTTTGATAACTCATAATATGTAGTAGGCAAATTTTGCGGATGATCGCGAAGCACTTCCCAGCTTGATTGGCGAGGAGACCATCTCCAGGGATGTTGTAGAGCATCCTGCCCATCAGGGTCATTAAACGAATGAAGGAATTATTAAAGTGATTTATCGGATGCTCCCTAATATACCACAGATTGTTTGTCAATAGCGTTTGGCAGTAGCAGACACAAGGGCTGTTCAATCCAAACTTTTATTCTCAAAAGTAAATTGTCAGGGCTTTTCAAATTCCATGATTCCAGTATGAATTGCCCCTTTGGAGTAACGATTAACCTTTCTATAAATCCGTGACATTAAACCGACAGTGAGTAGCCTCAGTGATGCCAACCAAATTCTAATCCACGTTAAACACAATACAAATTTGTTATGACCTTCATATTCATGTAGCTGTTTTATTCACAGGATGAGGTTCGCGAAAACAAGCCGGTTTACTATGTTGTGTTTACTTTTTCAACCAGTTAAATGCGGCAAGAAATACGTCAGTTAGTAATTATGTTCATCACTTTGATCAATGCATGTTGTCGGCTTGAAAGAACGGTTGCTGTCGTGCATCTATGAGATGGAACATGAAGTTGAGCGTTGCCTGGAAAATGAAGAGATCTCTGCGACCCTTCACCTTCTCGTCTTAAGCATACGTGAAGTAAAAATAGCTTTCTTAAAAGATTGCGCAAAGTGCACGTTTGAAGTGCGCATATGGTGGTAAGGTCCATTATTAAGGTGTATCACAGCAGAGGCATACATATCGAGGTGCACTTGCAAAAAAATCTGGTTACATGTTTATTACGGTCTTATTCCTAGTTCCCCTGGATCGGTCGGGTTCTAGGTGTTGAAAGACCAATAAAAATACCTCGATGTTGCCAGAAGTAATGTGTACGGGGATATTTTAATTGGCGAGCGAAATACTGCCTTACCTTGTATGTCAGTCCTGCGATTGAAATTTGCACAACTCTTTGAATAATGAGGTTGAAACTTCATTTGCTTCTTGTTTGGCGCTTCTGAGTGCCAACCACTAGTCAGTGTGACTAAATTCAAGCAATTGGATGCTTTATTTGGACTGGTTATTCTTCAGACTAAACCATGTCACAATCATTAATATATCTGGTCAATCACACATCCGGGAAGCATTGGACTCCGATTTCGCTCTTTCTCACAAAATGCGCATACAGATAAGCCCTTAGGGGATTTGAACTCCGGATTCCTCGACGGGAATGAGCGTATCCTACTGTCGACAAAGAGCTCACGCTGGGACTGATCAGTAATATTGATTGATATATGTCCAAATGTCGACCTCAGATATGGTCAACCAATTACGAAAACATTTTTTCTCCCTTTGTTGTCATTTATCCCAAACAGTTTTCCACAAGTAACTCAGAGGAGCACTGGAGTTAAATATTTACTTGATAAAATTGTATTTCTCATATAAATACTTCGTATAGCTGTTTACATAAGCAATGATGCATTTCTGACACCACTAAAGGTGACCGAAAATTACCAGTTGGCTGAAGCTTTCGATGCATACAGGAGCCTGATTAAATGTGAAACCGCAACGTGAATAGTGCGGATTCCCGGAATGCTTCGAATGGCGATGGCAAAGGCTTTAGATGCAACAAAATGGGGAAGGCTGGCAGATTGCATACACACTGGCTTTATGACATGGGTCACGATGCTGTGGGAATTATGTAAAAGACAAATGACTAATTCATTGAGCTGTTTGATCTTTCGGGAAAAGAGAGCACAGAGGCAAATGTGATCACCAAGGAATACAGCTGTGGTCCGGGGATTGAGATTTTGCACAAATAGGATGCTCGAAGGTGAAGATGACTGTTCGGGGACATTCACTGGCCCATGAACGTTTTCCGGGGCTCCATTTTATACATTAGCCGGTGGCGATCTGGGGGCAAATGTTGACGGAAAGTATCCGACTGGACTTATCGGTCGATAAACTGTCGGCTGTTTACGTTCCCCGGGATTTTGGACCAGATGTATCGTGGAACCGTCCACCGAGTACACGGTGCCACTGTCTCTTCCGGACTCTGTGAAACATAGTGATCCTTGTCTGGATAGAACAGAACTTAAGTTTTCCGGACGTTCCGGTAATGGTGGTGCCTCTTCCGTTGGGCTGGCGGAACGTAAACTTGACCGGGTTGTGAGTGTCAGGTGACCGTCGGGAGAAGACGGTATATCCGAACCGAACGCCGTGCCGTACACATTATTTTTGCTGGCCAATCCCAGGGGATCGCACTCATCGTACACATCATGTGCACTTCTCTTGCTGGTAAAACTGGGCGTAGCAACAAACACTGTTTGTGAGTCTGGTCTGCTACCGTAGATCTGATTGATAAACTGCCCGGGACCACCCATTAGGCTATTCATTGTTCCGGCAGAGGAAGGATTTGCGTGGAAATAAACAATCCCACCGTGTTTCTCCATCAGTTTGGTGCGACGTCTGAAAGCGGTCAAAAAACAAACGGTGAAGTATGTTAACCATTCACCAAAGCTGAGTAAGAACAACGAAAATCACTTTGGTTAGCAAAAAGAGAAAGCCGACTGGATAGATTCATTCTGAAAGCCCGAATTTAACAAACTCAGAAATTCGTTTTTGAATTTCTCAGACGAGATACCAGCAGAATCTATCTAGTTATAATGGCCACTGATAGCTGTTTAATGTTTTTGACCGTATTGCACTGAGAATGCTCCACGGAAGCCAGAAATGGCTAAACGTACTCCCATTGTGGAATGTAGGTTGTAAAAGAACATTTTTATGTGAGGTAAGACAGTGACTAGTGGAAAGCTAGCGGTGGCGGTGGTGGAACATTTATTGTCAAACAAGTGGACGCAGCAACAGAATGTTCACACTTTGATCATGACTGTTGCCTGGCCTATCCGTTGTCTATTGGTTATTTTTTGGTTCCATTGGTGACCGACGCTCCGAAGTCTACCCGATGACCATATATGGCTAACCGGTTCGGTGAGCTTATTTGCGAGTATTTATTTGTCCCACGTTTAACATCCATGCATAAGAATGATTGAAGTGTTGATTTTATTAATTTTTCAAATGGCACGACAATAACTATTAAAGTGAGGTTGCTTAACGATAACCGACAATTAATCGTCTGTGATGCATTTTCTGCAAATGGGTCGTGTCAGAAAGCGGTCCAAGATGGCAATCGAACTAAAGGGCTTAAATACAGTCTCAAGGGAGGATTCCATAATACAATACCATCAAATTCCACACGTAATGTATCACGCATATTCGTATTATTTACGTTTTGGGGTTTTCCGCTTGCATTCCTTTGCTGTATGAAACGTCATCTTCGATATCAGGTAGGAAATATCGACACTACAACTCATCAAACAATCGCCAGCTGAATACAGAAAAGGGTTTACAAGGCTTATATCACGATATATTTAACTCAAGTAAGAGAATAGGAGTATAGAGTATCAAGCTGGAAGTCCCAACCCGACTGATCACGGTTCGAGTCCCAACAGGGACACAAAATGTACACAATGCTGACGAGTCCCGAACAGGACGAAACAGCTGTCCAGTGCTCTTCATTGGTTATCACAGACATTTATATCGTATACAAAAAATGTGAATTAAAATTATGCTAACATAATCAAAAATATATATCCAGAAGTTAAAATCTCATAACTGTTCAGCTGTGAAATGTTTGAACAAATCATTGCTTCAGGTATAGGAATATAACAGGGACCGTTTATTCTGAAAACAAAATTTCGGAGTTTTCATAGGTTTTCATTGCGCACTGTGTGCTTGGCGTTAGTGGTTCAGAAAAGCACACCGCAAGTCTAATTTTATCGATCTTTTTAGTTAGTGAGAGCTGAACGGCCGCGCCAACCACGTTAGATGACGATTTGGGCTTGTGTCACCAGTGCTCACAGAACATAGGCGAAGACAGCTGAAATGGTGTAACTTGGAGAGCCTCAGCCCCAAGCCCGTCGGTTTTAGACATCGCTGTCATGTATGTGCAGCTTTCTTTCATGTCTTTTCACCATGAGTATCAAGTCGCTCAGTGATCTTCGGAAGAATCCCTCATCCAGGTCGATAGGCGGTCAGACAACCAGACACGTCATGTGGGTTAAGGCTTGTTTTCCTCAAAGTCCCCAAAGAGGAGCACATCTCCAGTGATAACTCAATCAGAAAGCCTGTGTGCATATATTTGAAGCGAGGAAATTACGGATGAGGTGTGTCGTTCCTCCACCTCTCGCGCTTCAGAAACTACCGTGGTCAAACAATCCATGAGCAAAGTTCAGAACTTACAAGTGAATGCTGGAATAGCACGAGCAAAGTCTGACTGACCACAACAATCATGTAGGCGTCTGAATAAGCATTTCCAAGTATATAGTGATGTCATAAGCATACCTCTTTTGTTTGTTTTACAACTCACTTTGAGGTTCGATATCGCCAAATGAATATGGCAATCAGCACGATGGTCAGGATCAGCAATGATGCACCGATGAGAATGATCAGTATCGTCATCAGAATTCCACCCTGAAACGAAACAAATTTCTCACATTGTTAAGAGCAAACAGCAGAAAACCAAATAATCCGGAAATGGCTCGTGATATGGAATGAGTATGAGTGTTCGACTCGCATTTTCAGCCATGACTTTCGGTGCATTTTTTCAGAAGGAAATGTTCGGTAAGTAAGAAACTGCTGTGCAACTGTCTCAACTCTATGGAGCAAGCTGATCAGCACATACCATACATAATTTCTATTAAGAAGCGATTTGGAAAACCATTAGTGGAACAGGAATGTGTTGCGAACTTACCTACCGAGTAATGTACCACATAAAATTTATTTTTCTTTTGTGTAACAACTAATATCTTCGAGGCCATATCTAAGTACTTGCTCATAGAAATTAATTATATTGAATTTCTCTGGTAGAATTGATGTGGATAACGCAACCGCGACAAATATTTACGTCTCGATAACTTCATTAATTCTCACATACTACGATTCGGAACACGTTAATTTGAAAAGGCTACGATAAATGCAATTATAGTTTACCGTTCTATTCTCTGTTTGCGGTTGTTCACATCGCGTTCCCGTCCAACCATCCTCACAGTCACAACGAAACGCCAGCTGATCCGTGTACTCCAAACACTTGCCACCGTTCAAGCACACTGTAATCTCGGTTGAATTATCGGCTGCCTCTAGTTTTAAACGTTCCAATTCTTCTGCGCAAGCCAGTCGTCGTTCTGCACAACGATGCCCTGTCCACAGACCGGCACAAATGCATTCGAAACTCTCATTGTACTGACCGAAACGACGACATTCGCCGTCATTCTGACAGGGAACAGAGCTGCATGGGTCATAGCCGGGATAACATTCTGGCCCTTCAAGTATAAACAGATGGAAAAAAATGATAACTATGCGGTGGATAACTGGAAGAGAAATGCATAGAATAGGATTTATCGCGGTTTACACTCCCATTCGTAATCATTTATCTGTAAACCCAGAGCATACATTTGTTTTATCTCCTTTAACTCATAAATTGTTCCCAGTCAATACTTTTAAGCTGATCTCTACTGTTACCAATCTCTCATACTGCAAAAGGTTGAAAAAGGTTCATTTTCTATTTTACAGCAAGAAAACGGCTGATATGGTCACTTCACAGTTTTAGGAACAAACTCTTTGATCAGATATTTGGGCTGATGGGGCACAAGAGACCACGCTTAGCTGAATGGGAACAGAATAGCCACTGACATCGATGGCAGGAGCACTTCATCACGAAACTCGATTGGTACTCGCTGGTCTTAAACCTTGCATCTAAGGCATGAACATAGTTCAGTAGTAATGAAAAATTTCACATACGCCACCAGCAGCACCACCACCAACAACAACAACACTTCTCTCTTACAAATGACTGTCCGGACTGATGAATTTTACCGTAAATGCAACCAAACCGTCACGGTTTGATTATCATCAGCCGTGTTTATCTTATTCGTTTAAACATTCTGATCAGAAAATTGTATAAGTTGCATATCACTTAGTCTGAGAATTTCGCTCATAAGATACTCAATGACCCCAGTCATCCGCTCAATCCCGATTTATCTGCTTGCCATTACCGCGCTACAGCCAGATCCAATTTCCGCCGCTTAACCGCCCCCACATAAAAATTATTCGCAAATCAACAGTTCCCTATCTGGCTCATATTCTCCCTGATACTGCGAGGATCCGTGACGAACTAATCTTAAATCTACAAAGATGAACACCTATTTGTGGTTCCATATCGTAGAAACGCGCCCGAAGACATACGAGGGATACTTAACTGTGGCAAAATTAGGGTTCTGTTCAAAAACACTAAAACAATTTACTCCAAACTAGCTAACTTCAAAGACCCGCGTGCAAAAGGGGACACTTCTGACGCTGTCTATAGAATACATTGTTTATAGACTGTCCTGTAACGAATGTCGGCCAATCCTACAGAAGCCTAGACAAAATAATAAGTGAACACGTGGGTCTGACGAAAAAGATTCCACATGATGTAGCAGATTAAAATCGAGTGGAACACAATTCAGCAATCGCTGGTAACGCAATGTGTGAAGAACATGCAGTTGATTTCAAAAACCCGCGCATTCTAAAGAGTGGGTTCAAAAGTCACAAGGAACGTTTGGTAGCCGAAGCGCTCCTGATCCAAGCTGAACCTACAGGAATCAGTCGATCCCATGGGGCAGTTATCTCACAGTTATGGCAACAATTAACAGCTGTGCATACAAAATAGTCTCGTCCCCACCCCGAATAACAAATGACTAACTCACACTTTTCGACCTGAAGGTCAAAGCCACTTCACTCGCCCCAACCACCTGTCCAACGATCACCAACACACACACACACATACACGGATGTTCGAATCACATCCGACTTCTATACGATGTCATCATCCCATCACCTTATAATTGCTTTTAATGTGAGATAAACCGATTAAACGACTTAAGAAAGGCCTTCCAACAGGACCGAAACGTTGTGACCAAAGCCTTGTGTTTTGGTTTTTCGTTCATCGTGGCTAAGACAAGCTAACTTCCTCAATAGTCATGAGCACGACGCCCAAGTTTTTCAGTGAGATCCTTTCCATCCATGGATCTCGTGTGATGAACACCTATTTAGTTTTATGACTGTTGTGTACGAATTTTCACTTCCTTTTTGTATCCCATTGTAACGGTGAACACATGTTTACTGAAATGTATGCACAGTTACCTGCGCAAATCATCTATAAGACAATAAAATACGAATTAGCTAGATCGTAACTCTAGTAATTCTTTAAATATGCGTCTGCATTTGTGATACATCGGAAGGACAACATAAGTACCTGCTATAACTTCTTACCTTCACCCCCGTTGCACTGACAAATTCGACCTTGACCGTCGACTCGGTTGACACATGTTGCATGCTCAGCACACGGTTCATACAGACAAGAGTCTTCTTTATCACACAATTCTCCTGTGTAGCCTACAGATGCCAATTGTAGAAGGTACTAAACAAATGCGTCGGATAAGTTAGCACACATCTTAAACAAAATGAACAACAAATGCAGATTATTTGTGAAACCAAATACGGACTAGTACTTTTTCAGTAAGAACCTAATTAGCTCAGTAGTATGATCCGAAACATTTCGCGGTTGATATCACAAATTCGGTTGAACAATGCTGAGTGAGAACAACGCGCTTCAGAATGTAGCTTCGTTAAGCACCCTATATGGTTGGATACAGAGATCAATACAGGTACAATTAACACAAATTGGCCCATATATGAAATTTGATAGTTGCTTTAGAAGCACAAGGCGATGAGATCTTTTACTTTCTGATTTATATGAATCTGCCCTAAGGTGACAGTCAATAATGAGTTGAATTTCATTAAAATCATTCTTCTGTAGAACAAAACCGTCCGGATTCGTTTCGTGAAAGAAATTGCATCAAATGAATAGGAAAATACCCTTCGAAACCCTAGAACAGCGTATTGCAAGTTTGACATCCGGGGAACGTAGTGAAAGAAATTTTCAGAGGTATTGATCGAGAAAGTTACTCTACACTAAAGGGTGCCCCATTGTACTGGGTTGTTATACTCTCCCTCCAGTCCATATAAATTAATTAGAAAATGTAAATAAAAACCTCATTGTTGGTCGTATAATCCGTTTAACATGGATCTTAAAACACACTCTAAGAGACATTTTATAATATTCAATTTTCTAAAGTCTATTTGCGCCAGTAGAGTTGGGGAGAAATCTCTCATATAAGTGGGTTTATGTGGTTATTAGTGTATCTGTTTACATCTGTTGGACGAGGAGCTGATTAAAAGTGAAATTGGTTATTTGATGGATTTTTTTATTGATTTGAGCTGACTATTCTTCGGACTTTACCTTCACGCACAATGCTCAGTTCATCGATTAAACCATACACTGGGAATCACTGGGCTCGAGCTTCGCTCTTATTGGAGCTCATCAGTAGTGCATATCCACCACCCCGTCCGGGACTTGAACTCCGAATCCATCCCATGGAAGGCGTGTGCGTTACCACTGTGCCAACCAGCTCATATCATGGCTGAGCCAAATTGCCCTATCATGTTTGTTCAGACGTTACCTTCAGTGATAGTCAGTCAGTTCATTTGGCCCCACAGCAACGAAGGGAGACACAGATGACACACTGTTAACTCCAATTGAAAGCCTCTCACGCAGTCAGAACTTCCATGCAGGTACGGACTGATTCGCCAACGAACGTACAAGGCTGGGTTGATATGTCGCATTTGAATCAAAAAAGATGAGTTGAAAACCTAGGAAGTGGTTGTTATGTTTGCATTCTATCTGTGAGGTCACGCGTTGAATGGGCGATGCATTTGTACTGTTCTTGCTTAAACCAAACAAAGCTGAAACAGTTATAGGAAACGTTATCTGACTTTCTGTTCATTCACTCTGTACATAACAAACATCATGGTATAAAGGTGGAATTAACGGTATATTGAGGAACTATTTTGGCATTCAAACGATGTAAGACGAGTTACCACTGAAAAATAAGCCAGAACGGTCGTTTAAAGGCTATTTATTGACCGCAAAAATAAGTGCTTGCTTATTCAGTTGCATCACCGAAGATAAAAGCATAACACATTTAGTCAAGAACGAAAACTCAAACATGATTCGGAATCCCCAGAAACTAAGTTTTCAATTACAACGCTCTTACGAGGCCTAATACTACTTACTTTTCGAAAGCATCAGCACTATTTAAACATTCAAAAGTCGCGGATTGTAGGCTCCAAACAACGTAGTGATTACTGACAACTCATGGGGTCAAGTTTGACCAACCGGACACACTGAACAAAGTTGTGATGCAGTTTTATTAACCGAAATCTTCTATACAATTTTCTTTGAACAAATGTGTCGTCAGCTGAGTTACAGCGCTCAGTTTAGCACCTCATGATTATAAACCAGCAGACAGAACATCTGAACAAATTCCTCACAAATGTATGCCGAAGTCCATTTGGATAGAGAAATGGGTATACACTGTCTGCAATCGATTATTGTTTAATGTTTATAACAGGTAACTGATCATGAGGCTCTGCAAATACTCCGAAAAATAATCGTACAAAATAAATTAGTGTGCGAAACGTTTTACCCAGTGTGTTTCAAGCCAAACGTGTTATGCGATTCGATTACCAGTAAATTCTTAAGTGTGGCAGAATGAAATGAAAGGCTGTTTACAGTATCACGTGATTAGTTTACAATTTTCCGACTGTTAACTATTTCGTGTTGCTGATAGAGATTTTCTCAAAATCTTTGAATTCAAAATGGTATTCAACTCTGCCTCATTTCTTTTGTTTACCTTCTTTTTGTCGTACCCAAAATAATTTCATCTCCAAGAAAATTAACTTAGTTAAGTTCTGTCTTTCATCAGAAGTCCAAATAGTCTTGGGTTATTCACATTGGATGGTTCGTTTTCACATGAAATGTTCTGCATTGATTGGCGCTTGGATACAGATTTTCCGACTCGTGGAAAATGGGCAGTATTTTCTTCAACCGCATCCAATCAATCGCGGTTTATTGGTTAACTGCTATTCTCTGTTAGATATGTAATATTTCATGCCAGATGTTTGCGCTCAATGTTCTGAAAGCTATCGCTGTTACGTAAAATAAACAGTTTCTTTTTCTTGTCTAAACAGTCCCACAGAGCAAATTTTCAAATAGAACAAGGAGTGGCGAACAAGCTCGTTTTCAGCGATTCGTAGTCATGCCATATACATCACAATAAATATTACGCTGTTTATATATAAATCAGTATTCAATCATAAAAACGCAAACAAATGTTTCGGGAAAGGGAAAATAACCTCATGGGTTATCTGGGGCTAAGTTCATCTTGGGACCGGATATGGAATTCTCAATGATCGCATAATTGTTAGGTCATCCGATCGTTGGGACCACTCGGAATATGTGGTGTATAAGGGGTGGGCCAGGGGAGCTTAAGCGCCTGAACAAATTGTTGTTGGGCAAACAAAGGGGGGGGGTTGTGCAGCCTGCCTTGATAATCAACCACGAACCCGATACAGGGGACGGAATGCCTCAGTCATATTCACAGTGTGATTTGTTTCAACTAGGTGTGAAACCACTGCACTAGTGAGTGACTTAATCGTTCCTGTGCGGGGTGGTGTTCACACAACTGCACACACAACTGCATTGTTTCCTAATTTCAGATCTCACCGAATTTAACAAG